CAATGTCGGAGTATGTAGTTGGCCCCTGACCAGTCTTCTTTCCGTGCTAACAAATAGGCAAGATAATGCCATACACAGAGGGCGGAGTTGGTGCCTTGGATGGACAACAGTTGCTGACTGCTTTCGACGTCAACGTCGTAAGCACGCACCGCATCACCGCAGCATTGATTCCTCTTCTGCAGAAGGGCAGCGGAAAGAAAATAGCCATGATGTAAGTCTGCCAAACGGGCTTCTTTCCAGCAACCATCTAACTTTGCCTAGCTCAACTCCTCTTGGTTCTATTGAATATGCCAACAGGTACACGTGGCTCCCAGTGCCAGCATACAAAATTACAAAGGCTGCGATGAACATGTTGTCCGCCCAGTACGCTATTGACTACGCAAAGGAAGGATTCACCGTCGTGGCTGTTTCTCCAGGAGTAAGTTGTAATTCAAATTAAAGATGCAAAGTACTAAGCGATATTAATGCCAAAATACAGTGGCTTCGAACCGACATGGGCTCTCAAGACGCAGACTTGGATGTTGCAACTGGCGTTAGGGCCTTGAAGGATTTGATCTTGTCGGCAACCGTCGACGCCAACGGTAAATTCTACAATATCCACGTCCCAGGTTGGGAGCATGCCGAAGGCCCCAACCAGTACGACGGGGCAGTGATCCCATGGTAGGGTCTGCTCGGGAATTAGACTAGACTAGACTAAATAGATTATAGACTAAAGCATTTGACGCCGCTCAACCAACCTGACATTGGGAATCACCCAAAATAGCTTTAGTCTGGTGTTTGTTCTCGAGCATTGTAGAGCCTTGAACTGTATCAATTTCCTCTAAAAGTCTCGTCACTTTGAGTGCACTTATCTAGGCCACTCCCGTTCTCCCAGCTAATCATCTTCGGTCTCTGAATATTGGTCTCGACAGCACAACTCCCAATCAGACCGCTGACATGTAGGCTAATAGGCACAACTTGCTGTATTATCTTGACTCATGAGCAATCTCTCTTTACTTGGCCAAAGCTCTCAATGAGGGACCTGATGATGGCGTTGTTACAATAGGATGCCCTTGCTCTTACTTACAGCAAGAAAATGTTGCCAGTGAAGCCACGGGAACCCTAATTGTAGGTGCAAACTCACGCATACCTGGATGGTTGCAATATTGTCATAATTGCACCCTCGCCTTTCTATTCAACGGCCCAAGGGTTACCAACATGCGGCTGACGATCCTCACGCCCCTCGTCACCATTACTCGTTGTTTGGTGAGGCCTAGGCTCAGGCTCATCCGCCGTGTTGTCATTCCCCCCGCCTCCAACTGCAGCTGGCAGAAGCCGAGTCCTCTCGGTGCTCCTTTCTGCTTCTTCAGTATTGGTTACATGGAAACTCACTCCTCTTGTTGGCATTCTCCTAGCTAGAGTGAAAGACGGCCACGGGAAGAAACTTGCCATCTGTACAACAAAAGGACCTGTCAGCGAACAGCATTGGGTGGTGCTAGCCGGGACGCAGCTCACATACCTGAAAAAGCCCAATAAACAGCACGATTCCAAAACTAATGCCAGAGTTTCTCTGCAGTGCTGCCCTCCAAGGTTGGATGCACGCCGTGTCTCGCCCGTACGTTTCGGCGCATTGTTGGGCGGTGTGCTGATTGGGGAAAGGCCAAGCTCTGTCCCTCACCGTATTAAAGCCACAGCAATTCAGGGCATCCTGAATCCGCCGGATCGACCCGGCATCGTGGCTGCTGAAGAAGCGCTGCCAAAGGGTCGATAGCAAGCAGTCGCGGGCGGCCGACGGGAGAATGTTGGAGAAGAGAAGGGTTGCCAGGACCGTAGTCAGGATTGCTTGGCCAACCTGCAAGGCCTGGGCCACGAGACGATTCAGGCGGCTATTAGAACGTGCGAGACGCGGATATGAGAGCGCGTTTGCAGCAGCTGCTAGAGGAAGTAGAACTGCAATGATCGTAAGGGTCGGAGAGATTGGCAGCGATAAGCTTGTGGAATGAATGTGCTCGTATCTACGGTGGTTCGTTAGCGAGGATGGTTATTGACGTCGAGTCAAGTCGAATTGGACAAACAGTGCCACTCCAAAGAGCGCCAGAACTACCTGCTTCAAGTTAATTCCAGGTACACGATGCTTGCATCTTCGCGTCTTACCACAAGGAAGGCAAAGAGCAAAGTCAACGCACTCATCTTGGCACTTTGGTTGACTCTTCAGTCTGCGATTTTGCCACAAGTGACTGGTTTGCTTCTATTCGTTTGCCAGCTGCTCTCTCGACGCCCAAATGCACCAGACACCCAAGATCACGTGGGTTGCTCGCACTTGGTTCAGAGCACGCTGTGTTTCCGAACATTGAAGGGCAGGCAAGTTTGGGGTGGCGCGGCACGTGCAGAGGCCATGTACACACATGTATACGCGGAACAAAATACAAGCCCAGCGCTTTGGCAAATACCAGACAATACATGTACCAATTAAATAAATAACGTCGAACAGCCAGTAGTCGCAGCCAGCCCTCAGCCCACCTGCCCAAAGACTGATGTCAATTGTGTACTTGGCCAGGCGTACCAGACCTTAACGCCTCCCTCTTTGCAAAACTCTTTTCTCATCGGTTTGAGCTATAAACGGAATTTCAAAAATTCACTACAGACGGTTTCTTCTCTTCTCTTCATCAGAGTTGTTTTATAGAAAAGAAATAACCAGCACATGGCACCATGGCCATAGAATTGAGCTCTTACAATTCGCTGATAGGTATAGGGTAACTCTAAAAACGGCTGAATATGCCCTCCCAACCACGACGCCAAATCTTGCCCGCTATGGATAATCCGTGAACCCTGCTGACGGCCCATCCCGATTTGTCATGTAGCCAAAACGCTCCGGCTCCTCAAGCACAAGCGGAGGCATGTCTTTATTCTTTTCAATCTTGATAAATGTGTCCTGTTGCCTCTCCCACAGATCATTTCCGTCTCTCACGGCGGCAGCAATCTTGTTCTTGTCCCTGTACCGCTCGGCATTCATCCACCCGTGGGAGAAGCTAGACATCTTGTTGAGGAACTGCTCCATGGTGGCAAAGCAGCTGCTACAATGCCAGCCTGCATTGTTCAGCACTCCCTTTTCTCGGCCGCGCAACAGGGCAAAGCCACCATCCCCGTTGCGCAGATTGGTAGGCTTGAGGGTGCGCGATCCTTGGTAGTAGGTGGCCTGAGGGTGCTGCCACTCGGGTCCAGTGTGCAGAAACTGGAAAGAGTAGTAGTAGAATTTGGAAGCGAGCGTGAGACGCCGGGGGTAGTTGCAGGTGCGAAGCACAAGCACGGTTTGTGGACGGGGGATCTCATCGACGTCGGCCACGATAATAACGTCGCCTTGCATCGGACTTCTGGGCCCTTCCAATGCGAGCATGACCTGCTCGTACATGGCGTCTCGCTGCAAGTCTTCGTAATCCCACGCACGGTGGGGGTGAAATGAGGTTGGGAACGCCAACTGGTGATAAATCATCTTGTCATGGTAGCGGCGGAAGTAGGCCCAGTTATCCTTGATAACGAGGGGCTTCTTGTCACCCTGAAACGTCTTGGGCGATTCCACAATGATGAAGTAGTCAACTTGGTCGTATAGTGTGTTGAGTCGAATCTCGAGAAAGTCCAGCTCCGAGTTGACCATGACGAGGTCGTATACTTTGCGCTGGCCGGAGACGCTGCGCGGCGTGAATACCGGATATCCATGGGCGGCGCAAAAGTCACGCGCCGCCTTGGAGGCGTAGTACTCTGTGGGCTTCTGGCTATCATGTAAAGTCGTCTTTAACAAATCGAGCGGTGTGTTTGTGACTTGGTGAAAGCTGCCATGGTGTAGCGTGGGTCTGAAGAAAAGCCACCAGATGGAGGAGACAAGTCCTATGCCGAGGATTATTTTGGCGCGCCGTCGAGCTGCCATGATCAAAGATGCACAGAGGGATATTTGAGATGACGCTTGGAATCAAATGTATGGCAAAATCGCCATGCTCGTCCCCCTTTCATATTGTCACGTGTTGGGATCGCCGTACGCAGCCTTGTTACGAGGTTGGGACGTGCACGGAATGGCGTATGCAGGTGCGTCATTATTATCCTACGCATCGGGCTGCGAGTAAATTACGATAACAGGGATATGGGGGTGTAATAGTTGCCCAGATGATGCCGAAGACGATACGTGCAAACAATATGGTTTCATGCCTCGTCTCGGGCAGCAACTGCCCAGTCACACCCCCGGATTGCATTGCATATTGCCAGCTACTCTTTGCATCTGATAAGTGTGTTCTGCCTTGGCTCTGTTATCTTATTCTGGACTTGGACTCACCAACCATCATCTCCGCCAACAGAATGCCTTGCCTCTTGGCTCCCAACACAGCAGGCTCCACGGAGCATCGACTGGACTTGAAAGACATGCATCAATTGATGTCTGGAGAAGAACCCTGCCTGTCACGCTTTTAGTGGGACTAATCTAATGTCTGGTCGCATCGACCGGATGGACTTGACAGCTTACTAGCTGCATTTGGTATTTGATTGCGCCACGCACCGGGCACAGCGATGCCTGGAGCCGAGCGCCCCTCTCACCAGGGCTGCACACAATTCTATCCATTTAACTGAATCCAGGCTCTGTATCACGAATACAGAAGTTGGTAATCGGTCCCTGCTTACACATATGTGACATGCACAGCCATTGGACAAAAGTCACGATAAGGACGGAACTCGGCCCTATTGGCCACCTAATAATAATTACGATGACATCAACTTTTGGGTTGTATTGTACGACGACTAGCGGATTGACTCTAAATGGCCAGCCCCCACTTAATTCAATGTCAACATTGGAAGTCAATTGCATCTGCCGACGGCCCGATAGTCGGGTATTGACGCTAATAGATCCGGACTCCGGAGGCTACATGTACCTGGTACCGGAGCAGCTGTATCCTCACGTGCCCGTCAACATTATCCCCGGGCATCCTTGGCCTGATTTCTATAATCCCAATCCATTTGACCAAACATTCAGCCCTGTGCGTTTAGAGACACCACTTCTCACACGTGTCCCCATCAGGAACGCAGATGGATTTGCAGTGATTTCCACACCAAGTGCAGCTTCCATGCTCATCATTATGACAGTTGCCGTCGCCAATGGTGCAGCGGTCGCCAAGATGAACACACTCCCTGCATCGCTTGTGCAGTCCGAGATGTTCATGAGGCTATAAATCGACCTTGTCAGGACCACTGCTTTCCATGGTCAATGATGAATGTGGGCGGCATAACATACAACTTCACGGATCAGGGTCATTCCATCCCGCTCCGTGATTTCAATGCCCATTGGCAAACTGGCGGGATTAGCCGCTGCACCAGAAATGGTTGCAAATGCCACGGCGGCAATAGTCAGGAAGTTGGTCTTCATTGTAGATGATGCAGTGGATTTGTGTTTATGGGTGAATATAAGAAGCAATGAGTGTGACATGTTATCCTCAATATGACGGGGACCATCAGCTGGTTTAATACCCTTAAGGGAGTATAGCCTTCATCCATCATACCCTCGATTATGGCATACGGTTCACGGAATAGGCCTTTGTTTAATGATACTTGACATTTAATCATACGCGGATGGCTCGCAGAAGGATAGGCAGAATCAGCATCAGGGAGTACGGGGTAGCCTGAAGCGTCAATTTCTCAAAGTGGTCACCACGCACCACCCTCTGATCCTGGCGTTATGCAATTAAGCCTTGCCCTAGACTGTCCGCTTTCGTTCTTGACAGCCCGAGGCAAGATGAGCGCCAGAATTTCCACCTCCCTCCCCTTCACACTAATCATTATCGGTTTTATATCTACGTCATCATAAATAGACCAACGAGTTTTTTGTTCATCTGACGCTTGCGATACCTACCTGCTTGAAAGGGCCCGTCTCTGAAAACTTGACGTGTCTGAAAGACTTGGTGCGGCCCTCTGAGACGACTCGTATCCGTGCACAGCTACGAAAGACGCTCAAGGCCTCTCTACACCAAGTTCTCGCACACCAAGTTTAAGACGTTACATTGTATAATCAATATTGAATTGTGATACATCATGTTTTCAAGGGAGCTGTTCATCATGGATATGATCACTACCACACGTGGGACTGCAGCACGTGTCACACGGTTGAGGCCACAACAATGGCGTTGGACCAACAGCCGTTACACCAGACAACAACAAAGAAGGTATCAATCATGATGAGTTTCAGCCCACCAAGTAAACTGGTGAGCATGTTGAATACGTCACTAACAAAGGGCCGGTGCAGTTACCCGTGACAGAAATGACGTAGGACGGGGTTGACTTGGCAAATTAAAGCGCATTCTTAGGTGGTGTGAAACAGATGACCTTGTTGAAAAAGGGCAGCAGCTTGTCAAAGCCATAGCCTTCATCGCCGACCAGATCTGCCAAGATTGCCATGAGCCCTTGGAGCGCGCTAACTGATCATGTAGCTGCTCGCCGAGGAGCTGCCAAGACCTTTGCCAGGCGCGTAATGCAGCTGGACGATTCTGCTTAGCCAGTTAATTGCGTGCTTCTTATACGAATGGGTAGTGAGTTGTGTAGTCCACCGTTTACCCCCAGTCGACTTGTGGCTGCCAACCGTCCTTGGTCCTTGATAGGTAGTAGTCTGGTGGTCAAAGACGTCTTCAAATACAAGAAGTCGGTGAGGGCCTTCTGCCCTAATCCCGTGACCGTAGCCCTCGTGTAACCGGCCATTTCCGTGTGACACACGCGACGGCCTTGTTGTTCAGCAAGACGGGTCACGATGGTCAGACCGGCATTTCCACCGCCAACGACAATAGATTCAAAAGTTGCCTTCTCTCCGGGGACGTCAAATAAAGAAGCAAGAATGCGAAGCACACCGATCAGAGCGGCAGAACTGGACTGCAGAATGGCCTGTCTGGTAATATCGAGGCTAAGGGTCGCCGGTCGACTTGGTTTATGCCGTAATGCTACACCATCTCCGCGTAACAACAGTCCTTGGCGGAATAAAGTTTGAATAAAAGCACTAAAAGTCTTGGCTTGGCCATGGCATCTGTTGCAGCTGTGTGTATTCATCGGCTATATGGGATGCTCCGTACGAGGCCTAATGTACACTTGAGCCCACCTACCAATCCAGCCGAGTCTATTCAACAAGGGGGACGCCTTGTGAACATTATTAATTTGGCTAAAAGTGATCTTAAATGTCCCGGTGTAATCCAGTGGAGAAGTGGATATGGGTTGGGTCTATCGCAAGGATACATACGATTGGTAAGGATTATGAGTTCTTAAATTTCCCTGGCCCTTGTTACGCTGACTCGACAAGCTTTCTTATGCTGGCAATCTTGTGCGTATAGGCCATGTACAATGATTTTGAATGCTTATGCTTAAAATTAAGGATGCGTGATATTCCATTACTATCCCTACTATTAATGCAATACATAAGATAATTGATATATGTACAATCTCGCTAAAAAACTGTAACCCAACTTGAGTCAACCTGACTCGCCATGGTTTTTCAATCCCATCCAGTTCTATGAGATCTTGGCAGATAATGACGCTTGCAGTCTCAAAATTTCGCGAGGCGGCATGGATAGCCGTTGCAAGCTTCGAAAGCGTCTATCTCTTACTTAATAGGGTATGGATCAATGTACGGAGCAGGGAAATATAAAATAGCCTGGCAGCCGCAAGGCTAGGCAGACTGTTTTCCTCACAGCACAAGAGCGCGCACAAGTATCTTTCTTCTCCTTGATGCCCGTGATTGTCGGCTTGGAGCAGACATAATGCGCCTCCGTATCCTCGCCCTTGCGTGGGCTCTCGCAGCACCCTTGACTTTAGGAGCAGACACCGCACAACAGGACACAGATGGCAATGCTGGCACTTCAGTCCATGTTGTCGAATGTAAGGTTGGCCAGACACCGAAGGCGGTGGATTTGATTAAGCAGGGCCAAGGACATATCCGCTATATATACGACTCAACTATTTTTGAGGGCGTATCGTTTCAAATGTCCAACATTACCCTCGCCGAAGACACTATCGACAAGCTTGACAAGGCAGACATTCTAAAGAAACGGTGGTTAACGCAGGAGACACGCGTGGAGTCGACCGAGCCTAGCAATGTCTCGGAGCCCGGGGAAGAGCTCGACGCACAAGATACGCCCGAGGAGAAGCGCGTCCGCCGGGCCTTGAGATCGTTGGGTAACGCCGAAAAGCCCGAATCACCTTGGCCGCACCTCATGACGACTGTAGACAAGCTACATAAAGAAGGCTATACAGGCAAGGGTGTTACAATAGCCGTTGTTGATACAGGCGTAAGTTTGCCATGTCGCCCCAACGCCTCATCTTGGCTGTAAGGAGTCAATACTAATAAAAAGGGGTCTTGATTAGGTTGACTATACGCATCCGGCCCTAGGAGGCTGTTTTGGTCCGGGCTGCCGTGTGGCCAAGGGAGCAAACCTGATACCCAATGCTCGTAATAGGAGCGACCCTATGGATACTCTCGGCCATGGTACTCAAGTAGCTGGTATTATAGCAGGATATGATGCCGAAAATGGCTTTATTGGGGCACTTCCCAACGCGACTATTCATGCCTACGCCTCTGAATCCTCCGTTGAAACTTTTACAGAAGATACCATGATAGCAGCTTGGCTTGAAGCCTACAAGGATGGGGCACAAGTCATAGTCTCTAGTCTTGGCCTTCCAAGCAGTTGGTCGGAAAGACCATCTGCTCTTGTTGTCTCGCGTATTACAGCAAAAGGCATTCCCTGCATTGTTGCTCTTGGCAATGACCGCTTGGGTCCATTCGACGCTGCGGCGCCAGGCACTGGCCGCGGCGCGGTGGCGGTGAACTCGTTCTCCCGCAGCCATGGCCGAATAACAGGCGATTATGTCTATCGCATCAATAACGACGCTGATATTGCCTTTGGAGTCAGGATGGGAGAGCCGCACGCCTGGGATACCGAGGAGCTCGCGGTACATGATGTCGACGCCGACTACGGAGGCAATATAGACGACATGGAAGGCCCTTCGTCTGATTGCCAGCCGAGGCCGGGCGATGATGGTAAAAAAGACTTGACTGGGCGCGTAGCACTTATCCGCTACCCCCGTACAGATGAACAGCACTGCATCTTCGAGCAAAGGGTGCTCAACGCAACGGCCCGCGGCGCGATCCACGTCCTCGCATGGTCGGGAAGAAACGCCCTTCACCTCTCTGCACCTAAAGATGCCAAGGGAATCGTCGCAATAGGCATGACAGACGCCACTGTTGGCGAAGCCGTGGTCAGAGCTCTCTCCGCTGGCATGACTGTCAGGATGCGCCAGGTTGGTCCTCATCGCGTCACAACAGGCAGCATTGCCGACTTATCATCATACGGGCCAACTTATAACCTTGACATTAAACCCAACGTGCTTGCACCAGGAGAGGATGTGCGTTCCACGTTTTCTGGCGGTGGTTATGGAGGAGTGTCGGGCACGTCCCATGCCGCGCCACTCGTCGCCGGCATCTACGCGCTTGTTGGCGAGGCGCGAGGCACGTTTGACCCAGCTATTCTTGACAGCGTTATTATGGGAACCGCCGAGCCGCAATCGTCGAGTCACAGTCATTACTCTGAGGGCGCCCATGACTTGTTGAGTGTCGCGCAGCAAGGCGCTGGCCTTGTCAAGGCCTGGGAAGCTGCTCACGCCACAACGCTGGTCTCTCCAGCTAGTCTGGCCTTCAATGATACGACGAACCGTGTCTCCTCCATTAGCCTTTCTATTAAGAACACGGCTAATATTGCGGTCCAATACCAACTTACACACATCTCAGCCAAAACTCTGTATGCCCTAGGTCAGAATTACACTACTAGAGGCACTGAAGAGATTGATGCTCCAGCCCAAATCTCCCTAAGTAAAGATACTATCACGCTTAGTTCTGGAGAGTCTGATACTATTATTATCTCTGCCTTGGATCCTCAAGGCGTAGACCTTAGGCGTTTGCCCTTATGGTCTGGCTGGATTGCTATCAATGGATCGGATAGCACTCGGTTAACGGTACCGTATCTCGGTCTTGCGGGGTCGCTCCGCGGCGCTCCTATTTTCTCACCAGGGCCAAAGGCGATATTGGCTCGTGGAAGATTTGTTAAGAGTAACATTGGCGAGGGCTCTACTGTGCTTTTAAGGGGCCCACCAGATACCCCAGTCCAGCAGACTGCCTCGTCACGTCGCGCTCAGCCTCGGGTGATAGTGACCAATTTCGGCCTGGTTCTTGGCTCACCTGAGGCTCAGATCTATGTTGTCCCTCTTGATATTTGTCCCGATGCCGAAATAAAGGCATCAGCTCCAGAGCTAGACCTTACGAGAAGTTGCGTTCCCAAGACTAGCATTATACAGGTAGGCGAATTTCAGACTATTGGTCAGATTGCCAACTCTCCTTTTCGCTATATTGGCGGCAATTTTATGAAGGAAGTTTGGGATGGCTCTCTTTCATCAGGTCAATTTGCTCCACCTGGTAGATATAAGCTTATGGCTCGAGCTTTATCTATCCTAGGAGATAGGAATATGGCGTCTGACTGGGAGGTGGTTGAGACGACAGAGTTTATTGTGGCGTACAAAGGTACACGTAGCGCAGGCTCCCCTTAGTCTATTCTCTACAGTCTATCTTTTAAGTTCTTAACAAATAGTGTAAGGGTGTCACATGATAGGGCCAACACCGGTTACACAGGATAATCACGAGACCTAGATAGAGACGTCGGGCGCCTGTTGCCTTGGCCTTAAAACCTATCCATGTTTTTGTCTAAATAAAGGACTATTTGTGTAAATATTCTCACAAAAATAAGGGACCTTGAATAACAATTAGGATTCTTATTCCACTTAAGGGGCGTTTATTTAGTTAGAAATCGCCTTCTTGGTGACCTTATCTAGCACGTCTAGCGATTACATCACGCATAGCTGAGTTTCTAGGTGTGGCAACGGACGATGTTGACTCTTCTAAGCCAGTTTCACGATACGGTGTGGATAGTTTAGTAGCAGGAGAGTTTAGGAACTGGTTGATCAGGACATTTAGTCTGGAACTGACAATGATGCAGTTGTTAAATAGCAAGGTAAAGATTGAAGATTTTGCAAGACGTTGTTGAAGTTAAGGCCAAGTAAATTAAATAAGGCTTAAGATATGCTTTATATAACGATTAGTGTATAAGTTTAGATTCTTCTAATAAGCAACCCTTCTTCTATAAACGATAAAGTAATATGCAATGTCCAGGTAGCGCCGAGATGCATGTAAATAAAATAGCAAAAGAGAAGCCTGCGATATTATACTGCCAAAATCGAATAAGAGCACGCAAGTGATTTCACCCCAACAGACTAGTTCAATTTCACCAAAGTAGACATGGATGCAATCTTCTCGCACAGCGCCGTGATGGACACGTTGGAAAGAACATCAAACACCGTCAGCTTAGCGTCCAGCGTCTTAAACATCCACTTGACCGTTTCCACGGCCACCAAGGAATCTACACCGTACGAGTGCAGTGGTCGGGAGGGATCGATTTCCGCCACGGAGCTCTGAAGGGTCCTCGCCACGCGTTCAAGAAGCACCGTCTGGACGGCGGCGGCGGCTTCAGCCACGGAATGAGCCTGAGAAAGCTGCGTCCGCACAGAAACCTTGCCGGCATCGGCGTCACCAGACCCAGCTGCAGACGAGGCACCGGCCGAGGTGCGTGTCTGGGCCAGGATGGAGAAGCGGGCATCATCAAAGTAGAACGGCGTGCTTATACCGGCTGCCTGCGCAGACCGGGCCGTGGCCAGGCCGGTTGGGATCTGCACCACGGAGCGTTCGGTCAGGGGCTGTGTCGTCGACATGATGGCTGACTTGATGAGCGCATGGAACTCGGGCTCGCGGATTCCAAACGGCTCCTCCCACTCGCGAAGATAGTCGGTGATGCCGTTCTCGGCGAGAACACCCACGTCTCGCATGATGCCCAAGTCGATGGTGATGGCCCTCTGGCCCAGAGACTCCCGATGGTGTGCCATGGCATCCTCGTACGCACCCGCAGCGGCGTAGTTGCTCTGTCCACGGCTTCCAAAGACGCCCGCAAAGGAACTCAGCGTGATGAAAAAGTCGGACACTGGGATCTGCTCATGCAGGTTCCATGTTCCCTGCACCTTGGGCCGCGTGCTTTCGGTCCACTGATCGTGAGCCATCCTCTCAAAGAGACCATCACGGAGGACCATGGCACACTGAATGACGCCCCGGATAGGCCCCAGAGCCGCCCGGCATTGCTGGACGACGCGGGATACGGTATCGGCGTCGGACACGTCCCCTTTGCAGACGAGGACGCGCACTCGATGCTGCATCTCGAGTTCCTTGACGAGGGCGCGCGCCTCGCTGCTTGCTGCGCCGGAGCGAGAGAGGAAGCACAGCCGGCGCGCCCCAAGCTGCACCAAGAGCCGTGCAAGACTCCGGCCCAAGCCGCCGAGTCCTCCGACGAGGAGGTAGGTGCCAGAGTCACTTAGGCTGAGGTCCGGTCTGACGACGGGGACAACATCTCCCGCCTGGAATGTCAGCACGAGCTTCCCCAGGTGCTGGCCCGTTTGAATCTTGCGGAATGCCGCTTCCACCTGAGAGGCGGGATACGAGGTGAGCGGCGTCGCGGGCTTGAGAGCGCCGGAGCGTACAAGGGCCATTGTCTCTCGGAGCGCCTCTCCCATAAGGTCTGGCCTCTCCTTTTGGACACGGTTCAGGTTGAAGAAGACAAACGTGGCATCCTGGAGGAAGGGCTTCATGTCCAGACGTGCATTATCCAAGATGTCCTTCATGCCGAGCTCGACAAAGGTGCCAAAGGGGGCCAGGCAGTGCCACGTCTGCCGGAGAGCTTCCCCGGCAAGCGAATTGACAACAATATCGACTCCGCGGCCTTTGGTCATGCGCTTCACGCCCATGGCAAAGCTGGCGTCTCGCGAGTTGAAGATGTGGTCGTGGGGAACCCCGTACGTTTCGTGCACAAGCTTCCTCTTCTCCTCGGAACCAACCGTCGCGAAAACCTGTAGACCTAGATGTCGAGCAAGCATGAGGACGGCCTGGCCAACACCACCTGCAGCAGCGTGAACGAGGACTGACTGGCCGGCTGTTGCGCGAGCCGACTTGACGAGTGCGTACCAAGCTGTCGTGTGGACGAGGAGAATGGCCGCGCCCTCTTCAAAGCTCATGGTATCAGGCATAGGCATGGCGTAGTCAGCGCGTACGCGATGGACTGTGCGGTGTGCTCCGTGAGCGAGGAAGACGACTCGGTCTCCTGGGCGGAGGCGCGTCTCTGCAGCATGTACACGGCGAACGACACCAGCGCCCTCGAACCCGAATGCCCGGTCCGGAATCTGTCCCAAGGCGACCATGACATCTCGGAAGCTGCACAATGTTAGAAATTTGAACCCTGGTGGGATAATCGGGAACACTTTGAACTTCTGGGGAAACTCACTTGACTCCGGAGGCCTTGACGTCGACTTCCACCTCGCCTGCTTCCAGTGGCTCCAAAGCCAACAAGTCGGGCTCAAAGCAAACAGAGTCCAGCATGCCAATCTGGCGCATGCATAGCTTCAGTCCCTCCGGCTTCTCCTGTAGCGTAGTCGCAACCGCGGCCTTTTCTCCCTGGCCCAGCAGCTGCGCAATCTCCTTGTTTCGGGCCTCATCCTCGACCAGCCGGCTGACAAGCAGCGCATCTGAATGCCACCGAAACTCTGTATCGGGACCACTATACCGGAAGACACGAGTGACCAGGTCGGCGTAGCTGTCGGCCCCGGGGCCAGGCAGACCAGCCACCTCAAGCGTGCGTATATGGACGTCGGCCGCCTCGTTGCAAACGCTGCGAGACAGGCCCGTGATCAGAGCAGCATCGGGTCCCAGGGGGCCACTCACCCAGAGGGTGCTCTCGGCATGCGAGAACAGCGACTGCAGGGCCGCGAGATCCTCTGGTGCCGGGTCCTTGAGAAGCGCAGACTCCAAGTCCGTCAGGACGATGCAAGGCTGGCCCTTGAGCTGCGACACGTCGGAGCCCCAACGGACGCGCTTTGTGGGAATCGACGCCTTGTCAAGATTCTGGGCCACGGCTGCCGCGATACCTTGCGCCGTGGCAGATGGATTGGCGGATTCTATGAGGGTGACTTGCTGCGGCTGGCGATTGTCACTGTTGGTCGACTCGGCGGCATTGCCTGTGAGACTCAGGCGGAAGTGTCCGTGAACGGCCGACTCTGTGTCCATGTCGATGAGTTTGAGAGCAGGCGTCAGTCCCGAGCGCGCGAGACACGATGTCCAGCTGCTGCTGCTCTGGGCAACGTCTAGGTTTCTGCAGAAGAGCAATGTTAGCAACCTCGTTTTCAATATTGCTCCGACCGCAGCTAGCCGAAGCGAACAAGAACCAAAGCGTCAATATAAGTACATACCTTGTCCACTGAAGACAGCCCAGTGCTGTGCCCAAGTAGAGCCCAGGCTCGCCGACTTCTGCGACGACGATCCTGCCCCCTGGGTTCAACAGCTTGCGCGCGTTGCGCAAAACGACCTCTAGCTTGGCGTGTACGAAGCCAGGGTCAAATATGAGAATGACATCATGCTTTCCCAAGCCCTCGTCGAGTTTCTTTGTAAAGTCTGTAACGGAGACGTCAATGTCGGAAGCCTGAGACCCAAACTGGGCCCTGACTCGGTCGGCGACGCCCTCTTGCGATACGCTAATGGCGTACTGCGCTGTCTGGAGAATCTTGTGTCGACTGGGCAAGGCTGCGAAGACAGAGTATGGCACCGAGTCCAGGCTCAGCTCAAGAATCGACAGGTTGGGCTTGGCATGATGGCGAAGGTCGATATACTACGTCGTGAATTAGCACCCTACACTTGACGACTTGCATGCGGCATAGAAACATGAAACTTGTACTTACCGCGTCGAGCGACTTGAATAGAATGGACAGAGCGCCGTTTTGCTCCACCTCTCTCAGCATCCTGTCTTGTTGTTCTGGTGATGGAATGCTCCCTGCTCGCACGGCGGTCAAGGCGTCTCTCATTGCGAGCATGTCACCCCCCGGGGATGGACGTTTGGATGATGAAGCAGCACCATTCGTGAGTTTTGCAGACTTGGCCGACAGCCAGTCAGACAAGTTTGCCATGGCAGGATCCACGGCAACGCGAGGTAAAGTTTCTTCAAGGTGATGGACATGATTGTTCAGCTCTGTGGCACGGGCGACGTTGGACGCACCCTCCTGCTTGACACGACGGTCAAGATGTGTCCGTAGCTGCTCACCGGTCAACAAGTCGATTGCTGGCTTCCACTCGAGACGGAAGCCAATCGGGCGACTCTCTGCTGACGCCGCCTCCGACGAGGTCATGCGCCCCCCGGATACGTCGGCGCAACGGAACCCCTTGATTTGCACAAGTGCTCTGCTGCTTTGGTCGTCCAGCATGTCAATGTCGGAGATGAGCTCTCTGAAGCCGTGAGGAGAGGAGCGCGAGACTCCGCGAAGCAGAGTGCCAGGGGTGTTTGGTGTGTCTGCTGCCACGACCAGCTCGTCGATTGTCGTTGGGACCATGGGGCCCGGAAGCAACGAGTCCTCGAGCGCCGCAAAGGCGAGGTGGAAGACGGCATCCAACGTCCCCGGATGGATGACGT